GTCAGGGCCAGGCAGTGGCTGAGTGAAGGAATGGCCTGCAGGTGGGCAGGAGGAGCAGGCAGGTGCGGGTGAGCAATATGTGGGGAGGAGGAGCAGGCACGCAGGAGGAGAAGCCTGTGGCCACGCAGCCCTGTGCGACAGCCTCAGCTGGGTCCTCGAGCCTGGGCAGCAGAGCCGCCCGGCAGGAGCCCCACTGGGCCAGGGGGTCAGGCCTGGGGCTCCACACCTGGTGGGGCCCTGGGAGGCGCCAGGTGAGGGTTCTCTGCACACCCAGCCCCGGGGCTTTATGGGAATTGCTTCCCTGTGCCCACACCAGCCCCAGGAGTCAGTCCAGTTTATTGTGTGCATTGACAGACCAGGAGATGGAGGAGTAAAGTCACCTGCTCAAAGTCTGGGCTGAAGTGGGACCTGAGTTTGGAGGTCGGGGAGCAGGGTCTGCCTCTGCCAGCTGGGACCCTGGTGACCTGAAGAATGGCCCGCCTAGGAATGCTCCGTCACCTCCCGGCCCAGAGAAGCCTGGGCGCTGCCGGGCTATCACTTGCAGATGAGGATTTCTGTGCACTCTGTGCTGCGGGGGGGGCCCTCAGCCTGTGCGAGCTGAGGGAGGCATAATGGAGCTCCGGCTCTTCCTCCTGGGCACAGGCCAGGCCACCTGGTGGTGGTGGAGGTGGAAGTCTGCCTTCTGGGGACCCTTAGTGGGCGAGAGCAGGGGATTGGGCAGGGAACTGGGAGAGCGGAGAGCCCACAGCAAACCTGGAAAATGAGCATTCAGTCTCCTCCCTTCATTCCACAAACTGCCTGGGCCTTCTTCACTCATATTCCTTCCACAGACATTTGTTACTAATAATGGTACCGGGAGCACAGCTGGCCCGTCCGCACCACCAGCACCCCAGGAGGCCCAGAAACAGAACAGGAAGCAGTACAGAGGACGTGGTGTCCGCCCTGGGCTTCCTGGCTCTGTGGCCTCCGGGACACAGGCCCAGCTGCTCTGCCTCAGTCTCCCCTGCTGATCTGACAGACACCACAGGCTGCTGGCTGATAAATGGCAGAACCTGATCTCCCAAGTTCAGGAGGCTGCAAGTCCCAGGTGAAGGCACAGGCAGAGGAGGGGACAGGCGAGGCCGCGTCCTGCCTCATCCATGGCACCTTCTCGCTGTGCCCTCACGTGGTGGAAGGGACAGGGGCCTCCCTGGGCCCTGGTACAGGTGCAGTATTTCCATTCATGAGGGCTCCAGACTCGAGCCCCAACCACCTCCAAACG